GACATTCGAATAAGGCTTTGAATGGAATCAATTTCAATTGTACTCGAATTAAACAATAAAAAGACTTCTGTCACAAAAAATCAAGTTTATTTAATTCCTTTCGAATCGAAATGGGATATTGTCATACATTGTATGTTTTTATGTTGTTTTTTCAGGGTGCTTACTGAATCTGAGCGCTATAATCAGTCCTGTTTCAGCACCACCTTTTGAGCGTCTTTTGTAATTTTTATCAAATCGTATCTTGATGCCATCTTCCATTACCACTTCAGATTTAAATGCTATCTTTTTGAGGCGTCCGACATTTGGTGACAGCTAAAGTTGAATACCATACCAAGCATGGGATTTAATTAAAACTGAGTGGGGCAGTCGTATGACCATGCCGAGTGGGCTTTCTTTTCAGCTCAATGTTTCAGTAAAAACGGTGATGGTGCCTGTGATGCAGCTATCTTGGATGATGGTTACTTCAGTTGAAAGAACACTTGCCGGACCGCCATCACGAGGAACACTCAAGTTTTGACAAACAATCTCATGAAGCATCAAGGTTTTATTTGAACTGAACGATACATTTTCAATTCCTTCAGATGAATACGTATGACCTGATTCAATCATTTGGTTTTCATCGATTCGATTGCATTCGATTAGGCTTTTCTTTAGCATTCGTGGATTATTCTTGAAGATTTTCGACTCGAAATCATTTGATCCGATCATTTGAATGATTTCTATGTACTCCTCTTTTGAAAACAAATTTCCATATACCGGAACCAATGCAGCAAATTCGTCATATGTCATCAATCCAAAGCCAATCTCGTAAAACAGATCCACGAGATGAGTTCGAACGATTTTTCTTGTTAAGACTTCTCGTCCACTTGCCGCTTTTACCCAGGCTATGCATGCCTTGAAGACCTCTACTTCCGGACAAGAGAGTATATCGATATTCAAAATGTGGCCCAAAATTGCATGGTTGCATTTCAAGAAACTTGCTGATTCGAAGACAGCTTTCGTGTTCCGACTGATCTGTTGCTCAGCAAATTGCTTCAGATTGTCTTGATCGTACAGTATTGCTAGACCGTAGGCAGTGCATGCGTTGTTTTCGGTGAGTGTGTCTTTTATGAACGAGACACAGACATTCATGCCATCAGGCATGTTGTACTTGTTGACCAGGCCCAAGACATAGCCAATGTTTTCCATTGTGAGGCTCACTCGACCGAAGTAGAAGAATTGCAGGAATTGCTTGAACGCAGTGGACGTGGTATCGACGATCTTTACATCACCTTCCTCCTTCGCTGGTCCGTAGAACATTGCTTTGAAGACGTCACTTCTAGAGGCCAATAGGACTTTGTGTGCTGGAATTCGGTCTTCTTGTCCATTGCTCGATGTGATGATGAAATTCACATCAGCGATTTCAACATTCAAATACAGATTCCAAACGCTGGTCGTCAGACCCACGTTCTCATAGTCGATTGGTGCCGGTGTTTCATTCGATGACATTTTGGTTTGGAAATGGATTGATGAGTCAATGGTTACGTGAACTTCAATCGAAAATCTAAAATGATACCCAAACAATTGTTCATGAAGAATTTTGCTTTTGAGACCGAAGAGGTATTCATTAAAATCCAATGATGAGAGAAAAATGTCAAAAAGAAAAAGAACAATCAATATGATAGCATTTATTTGCTTTAAGACTAAATATTAAGAAAATAACACTCCAACACTGGTTGGTGTACCTTAAAATGCAATTAACGCTATTGAAGTGAGGTTAGATCCACGTTCCGAAAGACTTTACTCAATGATCAGATTTCATTTAAACCTAATTATCCACCCAAAATTGTACTGTTTTTGATGCTCCTGAACTGCTCAAAGTACTTACACCGACTTGATACGCTTCATTGATCTTTTTTTTCGATTTTATCCTGTTTCAATTACTGATTCTCAAATAGGATTACATGATAGCAACAAGTTGCAATAGTTGTTTGACATTTGCTTTCTTCCCTTCGTTGGGAGAACATATGACAATAGCTCAGATGGCGCTATATACTAGCTTTCATTTCATTAGAAATTATTATCGCGTTCTATTCAATTTTTGTGCATATTTCAGAAGGAATCAAATGAGTCACTAGTTCAAGTATCTTAAGTTAATACATCGAATGTCTTGCTTCAAATTTGGGAGATAATTTTTAAAATTTCTGCTCAAAATGACATCCGATTGTCAATAAGTCTATGTATAAAGTGTATTGTGCAAGCAATATCAACAAATCACACAATGGATTGGCTTGTATTGAGGGCTGCGATAAATCCGAAAAAAGAAAAAACAAACGAAATGTTAGCTCGATTCAGCTCAGATCTCCTCATTCGAATGAATATTTTATTTGTGTAATCGTGTTTCGGATGACAGCTTTACGGAAATATTTTATCGGGTTGTTCATTTCAAAGTGGCATCAGTCTTTGCAAAGCATTTGAAGTAGCAACAGCAACAGCAATAGCCTTCCAATCGATTCTGATGTGCTTCAGAAATCTAAACTATCTATTGGTAACACGTGTGAATAATAAACTTTTAATGAAACTAAAACTGCATTGAATTTTAGTGCTTTTCCAAATCTTCGTGTAAATCCTTGATTGACTAAATTCTATGGGGGAGATTGAGAGTAATTTCTTTGACGACTTATATTTTGATAAAGTTGAGATGGATCATTGGTGGTTCTTTGCGATTTTCATTTTGATGACAAGAAATATCGAATTGGTGTCCTCGCAACAATTGTCGGTCTTGTCAAACTGTACAACTTTGCCGAAGACAATTATCGTATATCTGTTGAAATAAATAAATGATTTCGAGATTTGATCATCACTTGAGAAGATGCTCTACTAATTCCAATACAATGTCTGTGAAACATACACTAATCTCAAATTGAGAGTGTCAATCTCACCCATGAAGTTAGTACATTCATTGAATTGGCTCACATTGTCTATTTACAAATGATTCACATGAAATCAAGACTTGGTCAATAATTAAATCTCAATCGATTGCAGTGAAAAATTCTCGAATTTCTACACCAAAATTCTGTAAAATGAACAAGTGTTGAAAACAGCGCTTGAATATGCCTCATTTGTGTCGATGTACTCTATTGAAAATAGAGCATGCTGTTGTTTATATTTACACAATGACAACAATCAGCCTGTGTGCATCAGTTCGGCAAAGTCAGCGTTTTAATCATTCGGTACATAAAAATATTTCTTACAGCCTAAGAATAGTGAGATTTACAACCGATTTCACATTTTCTATTGTTCGCATTTGAGCAAAACATTGTTTGAATAAGGCTCTATGTTTACTTGTTATTCTTTGCATAAACACAAACATCCATGACCAAAATGTTAGCTTTGATAAGCAAATTTTGAAATGGCTGCATTGAGTGAGATGTAAATCGTTGAATAAGAGGCACCCATTTAAACAACGCAGAGCATACGTGCCAAATAAATACATTTATTGATGTGTTAGTATAGAACAAGAGATTCGAATTTGATGGCATTATTCATACGTCGCTCAAAAGTTGACATCGGCCAGAAAATGACTTCACCACTTCATCAACATTTGAGTTGAATTTGGCAGCTATTTCGATCCGCAGTCGGACTGACAGAATCAGTGAGGTTCTGTTTGAAAAAGCAACAGCAAGATCCTTCGTATTCAGCAGCAACAGTCACTTTGAATAATATCCATTTAGAATATTCATACCATTTGAAGAACATTTGAGTTCTATTTTGGAATTAAACTCATAAAATTGCTTCATTGAAAATTGCACTCATTTTGAATTGATACAGTCGGTCTAGTACAAGTTTTCGTAAGCGATTATTTTTATTGTAAAGTGATGTTTTCTTGAATTATCCTCAAGTGTGCATTGTGTCGGTGTAAAGAGCGTCCAAAGGGATTTTCACGCGAATTTTCTAGTTTTTTACATCAATTGACCGCAATTGATAGACTACAATCAATTTAAAAATGATTATTTTCCTAACTCTCTGACATTTGATCAATGTCTCCTTAAAGCTCGATTTGATTTAAAAGCATTCAAAAATCATCACCACCTTGACTCCTCTATTTAGTTCATTGATTCAAACTTGAAAAATGTTATCTAAACTCTTTATTTTGATTTTCCTACCATTATTTCATCAGACCATGGGTGATTTGTCATCAAAGATGTTGTCTCAACCTGAAAAACGCGTTCGAGATGACGAACCCATCAAAGAAGTGTACCAAGCGAAGAAGCCAAAAATCGACTCCAAACAATTGCAACTGGTGGATATCAACGATGATTGCCTACAGATTGTCTTCGAGTGTTTGGATTTGGAGGATTTGTTCAATGTGGCCGAAGCTCATTCACATCTCGTGCCAGCGGCTCGATTGGTATTCGCACGTCGGTATCGCACGAAGAAAGTCTTCTTGAATCTGGACCTCGTTCGTTTCATCGACGACGATTGCATCGAAGTCCGAAAAGATGCAGCGGCTACATTTTTCCGTTATTTTGGTGCGGTGGTGTCGAGTTTGTTCATCAATTTCGAAGGTCAACGTGAACGTGCTATTGAGCAATCGCTGCTTGAACATTGCCCAAGCACACTGGCCAAATTGGAGCTGGCATTTTGCGACATAAGTAACTTGGACACAATCGACGAGCCATTTGGAAAGGTTGAGCAGCTGACGATCACAAAATCTTCATTGAGCAAACAGTTATCACGGTTGTACGTGTGGTTTCCGAGTCTAACCACCCTGAGATTGATCAATGTGACATCAGAGAAACCCGAGTATTTGGCCGCACATTTGCCACAGCTCACAAATTTACTGATTTACAATGCAAAAATGACGATCTCATTGGCAACAATCAGCGGTATGCTACGAGCAAATCCACAACTCGAGTCATTGGCGCTGTGCTGTGATTACGATACTGATTTTCTTCAGTCGATCAGCGCATATTTGCGACGCTTGATTGAGCTCGAGCTATGGGCGCCCGACGATCGATTCTTGAGCTTTGGCGACGACAAGGTTCGTTTTGAAAGCGTCGAGACGTTTGCACTGATTGCACCCCATCTACGAGGCGATTTCGTTGTGAACATGCCATTTGAGTTCACCAATCTGAAAGAGTTATATTTCGACGGTTTCAACGAATTCAAAGGCCAGCTGATCAGCTTCATCAAAGAAAACCACGGTGTACGACAACTCAATTTGGTACCATGCATACATGATTGGGACGATTTGACGTTTGCTGACTTGATGTCTGTCGTCAATTCACTACCGGATTTGGTCGAGTTGGAATTCTGCGGCGACACATTCAAAATGGATGACATCATTCAATTGCTGATGACCAACAAGCGGCTGCAAAAGGTACGAGTAGCGTTCATCGACATGCCACATTGGCCCGATTTTGTAGACGCTATCGAAACCGAGTGGACACATGGCGTGTACTGCAATGGTGGTAACACCGACGTGGAATGCTATTTCTTCAAGTTGGATCGAATTGAAGGTGGATTGAACTGAAAGGCGATTTGCAATGGTGTTGCGAGAGAAAATCAGAAATATTTTGCATTTAGAACGGATTGTTTAGGCTAAACGAAGGAATTTTTATCAAAAAATCTATCAATAATCGAAATGTAGTTGAAAATCCAATTAAAATTTAACATTAGGTCGATATTTTTACATAAGAAATGTCATAACATGAGCTAGTGCACGAAAGCTTCATTTTTATATAGAAAACATTGGACATTCCTAGCATTTTCAATGGAAGAATCAAATTGTTCCAACATTCAGTTGAAAAAAACATAAAATAAATTTTCGCTTGAAATATTGCGCATTTATCATTACTTTTTCATTTTTATCTAGCCAAAACAATGAGAGAACCAATCACAAACGGATCGAATAGCAAAGAAATATAGCAAGTGATAGGCCGATCCATTCTGTCAAATGTCATTCGTCGAAAGCATATTCAACTGCATTTGACGATTTGAATTGTCAAATAGGTACGCGTGTGACGTCTAATGCTCGCAAAGCGGCGCCCATTTCGCGACGTCAACATCAAATCGCAGACTAAATTCAAGCATCAAATGGGCTAGAGCTCATTTGAGGATAATTGTTAAAATTTCTGTGAGATATTGTTAATTAAAACGGATTTGTTCAAATCAAACAGTAAATTTCAAGGAGATTTTACGATTTGCAACACGTGAATACCGAAAAAGTACGATGACTTCAACAGAGGTGAGTTAATTGAAATATATTTTGTTGCATTGTGCAAAACTCCAAAGCATTGAAACGTGCAAACGTCAAAATGCGCATCGTTCGGACGAAAAATGGTTCCGATTTGAAATGACGAGGATCAACAAATGTTCGCAATGTATGTATTTCAATTCATAATGAATTGTGACGCAAGTGAAATATTTTTCATATTTTTTGGGAATTATGACATTCAGAACAATTGATATTCATTGAATTGGCTTGAGTCGTTGCTCACCATCGATATTTGATCGAAAACTTCTACTTGAAGCATTGACACTTTCTCTATTGAAACATTCCAGAATGTACACGACACATTTTGCTGGCATTGCTGTACCACGGGCACCACATTGAAATGTTCCGGTTGTATTCGATCATTCCACACCAAGTGCGAATTACCAAACGAAACCGATGCCACAGAAGATGAAAATTGGATTTGTTCAGTATGTACCAGGCAAATGAATTGGAACATGGTTAACGTGTAAGTAGCTCACATGCTGTTCTAACCTCGAAATGATTGCCGTTCAAACACTTCATGACCTTTTCCATTCAAAATGCTTTTTTTGCACACAAAAAGAGGGAATTGAATATGAAATTGGTCTTTCTTAGTTACTATTCCATTTGGTTTATTACGCATTTTGAGGGAAATTTTGTGCTTTAGCAGATAAATTCAATGGTTGAGAAAAAGTAAATGGTTTTTTGGGTTCAAAGTTGATTTTCTAATGAAAGATTGGACTTTTCTAACCAAGAATGTCTAAACTCGATTTTTTTAAAGCCAGAAATTTGTTGTTCCATTGAAAACATTACAATTCAATACAAAAATCCATAAATTTCTGTTTTATTTAGACAAGATGAACGAGAAACATTGCCAATTCTGATTGACCGAGTGTGGAATGTAAATAAGGTACGTAATTCGTGTATATATCTCTGATGAAATTTACATCAAAATCAATTTGCTTCGTCATCAAAGTGCAATCCTAACAAAAAGACATTGAAATCGGTATTTATTTTGTTTGTTTTCTTTCAAATCATTTAGTTCATGTGCCTGAAGAATCCTTTGGAAACAGACAATGGCAAACAGTCTGGTTCCATCGTCAATCCGATCGATTTGACGGAAATCAAAGCAAAGACCCACTCGTATGGCAGTTTATACGAACTATACACCGATGTTCAGTGGTTGTTGCACAACTGCGTAATTTTGTATTCAGGTAAGGGAGATTCTTTGCATCAGAGTGTTCAGGTTTTGAAGTTTGTTGAGATCAATGTCTTTTCGTCGTGTCTTTTGGTATGAATGATGCCAGATTAATTTCGAATTAAAATAGCTCTTGAAACAAATCAATTCCACAGTGGATTAAATTGACTAATGTGGATTTCAGCATATTTGCACGACTTTAATTTTCTCAATTCGATTTTAGAAAATGATGCAAAGACAATGGCAGCCCGATATCTGTTGGATAGTATCGATGCAGAAATTGCATTTATCAAAAAGTGTACTGAATGCTATACGCAAGTAATCAAACATCCAAAGCGCTGGTTTACGATGACATGCACTGAACTACATCTCATTGTATGGGCAAAGATTGTGGGCTTCAATTATTGGCCTGCAAAGGTTATGTCTGCTACTGAGCAAATGGTTAACGTTCGTTTCTTCGGCGACTACACTCATGCCGACATCCCCGTGAACAACTGCTACCTGTACTCGGAGACAAGCCCGAAAGCTCCACGATACATATCGTCTCAATATCGTGCTGCGTTGAAAGTAAGCAATTGACATCTTTCGGTTTTACGAACATGTTTCCATGTTAGATTTGAATTTTTTTTCATGAAAAACGGTATCCAATTGTTCAATTTTCACAGGAAGCCAGATTGTACATCAACAACATTTGCAAAAAGTACGGTACGTTCAAATATGCTCAAACAAAAACACCGTTCGATCCAAAAGCATTGAAGCAGCACATCGAGCAAATGATTCCGGGAATTAATGAGAATCGCGACAATGAATCGCGAATTGTTGAAATGGACAGTGAGACTACGGAAGAGACGAACGATGGGGATGTAGAAAGCGACAATATCACGGTGGATACGGATGAGGAGGAAGTGAACGAGGAACAATCTGACGAATTGTTGCAGCAGCCCGTTATCTGTAAAGAACTGCTTATTGTTTTGACTAGAATCGATGAGTCGAATTCGAAAGCAGGCAGAGGCTCAAAGCGAAACCATGTGTCCAACGAGGTTAATGGCGAACCATCGCCGAAGAGAGTTCGATTCTGCGATGAATACGGTGATGATCTTTGCCAAGTGCAAGTCTTCGAGCCAGCGGAATATGAACTCGAGGCAGAAGACATCCCAGAGGAACCATTGGATTATTCACGGAACTCCGAAGCTGCATACATGGTTGAAGCTGATGAAAATGATCAATACATTAAAGACTCGGAAAATTCACAGAACGTTGAAATGCCGCAAGATCAGCAAAGCGTTGAACCCGAGGCTGAAGTTCCAAATGCTGTGGCATCGAATCAATACGTTGACATTGACGACTTGTCAACATTGGAGCACAGTGCTTATTGCAGACTTGTGCAGAACATGAAGGGCATTCAAGGAGACTTACTGAACTCGATTCATATGAGCCAACTGAGGTCAGAGGCATTGAATAGCCATTTGATGAGCACCAGAGATGCTCATGCCAAGGAGGTGGCTGTTCTGCAAGCACAAAATGCCGAGCTGATGGAACGTTTGAAAGCGGCTTTGTCTGAACGAGATCAAACCGTTCAGCAGTCGACGATTTTGATGAACACAATTAGAAACAAACATTTGAAAGAAGTTGCTTTGCTCAAGCAAACACACGACCAAGCGAAATTGGAGATTCAAGTGATGCTTGACGAAATTCGAGAGAAAAACAACGAAATTCAAGTGAAAAGTTACGAGAATCAGGAGCTGAAGGTACAACTGGTTGAAATGGAGCGCAGCATTGAAGCCATTTTTGTAGAAAATGCCAATTGCGAGAATCAACTCAACGAAAAATACCTCGAAATAATCGACAAAATGCGAAAAGAATCTGATCGAAAGCTGAGTGAACGATTACGGTGCAAAGGATGCGACAAGGAGCTTGCTTTCTGCGGTTCACTTTGTGAGAAAATTTGGTAAGCCTAACAAAAATCAAATTTTGTTGTAAATTTCAAGAACACAAATTAAGTTAGTATTGAAGAGAGACAAACAATTTTATCCATAAAAACTATGCTCAAATACTATGCTAAAAGCTCACGACGCTCGTGAGGCCTTGTTTGTGTACATTAACTTGAATTGATAACATTTTCGAAGTGATTGATAACAACAATAATTTGGACATTTGTTTAATTTCACAGCAAAGCCTTGCAAAACCCAACGCCGAACGGTGATAAGGATCCGATACAAGAGTAAGAAAGGCGACAAAACTTCAAAGTTCTACAAACGATCGCGATCGTTCATCAATGACATGAAATACTTGAATCGAAATAAATATTTTTGTAAGAAAATTACAAAATTTTCGTATGCAATTTCGGATTGTGATTTGTTCACCTTAGAAAAAACCAATTCAATAAAATTCATACATTAACTTTAAACAAATTGATCGAATCATTTAATCTTTCTTTTCTCGAAGGATGTCGTTGTTTCATTGGATTCACCATTAAGGTTTGTTAATATTTCGGAAACGAATGCACTTATTGAAGGATAGTTGTAATTTCTTTAAATTTGGACCATTTCTGATGAATTGAATGATATTTTCGAATTTTAAGTCATGCGTGCAAGAGAAATTAGCTTCGCATTACTTTACGAAACGACACTTTGCAAATTGTCGTGCAAATATTCACACATAAGCATAAAAAATTAGGAAAAAGTCGTGAGCAAATGCAAAACTCTCACTCTATTTGCTGTGAATACATGTAAAGTGACCTCCGACGAAGCATGCAACAGGCAATTTTACCACTCAGAAACCAGTTTGCATTCATTGAACATTGTCTCTAATTATACATACGCCACAGCTACACACTCCAGATTATATTACCTTTCCATCACCTAATGTGCCAGATTGTATGATTCTCGTAGTAACATGATCCTAAGCAAACAATCGACATGTTCTTTTGTTCACATTCTCATATTTATTTTAGTTCAGATGTTCTGAACATTCTAACGGTTAGCTAATGGAAATACCTTATACTAAACTTTTAATCCGATGGTCGAGTACACATGTCGACTACACAGAAAAAAATGTTTAAGCTGAAGAATATTTATGGTTCAAATCCTATTACAATTTTTATAGGTTTTGTTTTTTTCACTTCAGCAATCAGTGAATCTATTGTTCTTACTCGTTGGCAAACGAGCAAAAATGGAAATCAAAACCAATAAGCATTTCTAGTTGCTTTTTACAAAAAAGCAATATACCTCATGCAATTATATCAAATGGTACTCGTTTAAATTCCACATTTTCTTGTGTAAAAAATGTTCTTCGACCAAGGTCTTGATGCAACCAAGTCTAAAAAATTGTATCAATTAAAGCCGTGGAATTTTACAATAAAAACATTTTCCCATGCTTTGGATTAATTTGCATTTTTCTTGTGCTCAAAATCGGTTTTGTGATTGCAAAGCCTCCTGTGTTGCTATTGCAGCACTCAAAACCTCTTATGTATTTGTCAAGCATGCCGATTCCGTCTGTGTGGCAGTGAATTTGCCTTCGATGTGCGAAATTTGATGCGGTAAAATGTTGTACGAATTGTGTCGAAAGCAGAAAATGTCAACAAAATGGTTGAGGGGAGGACATGATTAGAAGAAATTGGATTGAACCTCCTTTTTTGATTTGATCCATCACATTTCAACTGTTTTTGCAGAAGAGAAAAATATTTCCATATGAATGTTTAGTTCATAAAATATTGTGGAGTTAAAAATCTTCCTCTTGGATCCTCCCCCTCCGTTTTAAGTGAACACTGTTCACCGCAGTAGTCGTAGTATACAGATACTGCTGAGAAGGCGCGAATTGGTTATGTCAACGTCATAATCGCTACGTAAGTAACATTGCATGTTAAACATTCAGGATGAACGACAAGCCAAGTCAACTGCACTGTAAGTTGTGTAAAACAATTTTGTTCTTTTGTTCGTTGGAATTTCGTTCAATTTAATTACGGTTCAATGCATTGAGTAAATGATGCAATTGTCAGCGTATAAATACTTTTTGTTGTCGTTTCTATGCATAGTTTTTTGTAGCTACAATTGTGACGTTTCGCTGTTTACGGCGGCGTTTGACAGTCGGTATCATTTGCACTATTGCGACGAATTTTTGAGAACTAAACCAAATTCGCTTGTTCAAAGTAATCAAATTACTTCAAGCAGATTTGACTACTTTTGTTTGATTAGAAATCATTGAAATTGGCTACTAAATTACTTGATTCACGATATTTCGATTGGCAAAGGATTTCTACGGAAACTTCAATACATTTTCCATTTTTTGAGCCGCAGACAAATTCAATCGTGCTCGTAAATTATTTAGTGTTGACAATACGCTGTCGGTTTGTATTTTTATGGAAAAAATACAGAGCCTTCCATGTCCAAAATCATCTGGTTAAAGAATTAAAGTGATTTTGTAGCAATTTTCAGTGTTTTCAGAGTCAACGAAAGACTAAATCACAGTTACTAAACTAAAATGTCGCCTATTTCATGCTAATCGATTCATTTGTGATTGAATCCTATGGAAATATCCACAATGGATTCGTATCCAAGTGAATCTACATCGATTGGAGGTCTGAGAATCAAAGAAGATATCATTATTATCGAGAAAGAGTTAATTAAAGACGATATAATCATTATCGAAGAGGACTCATTCAAAGACGATATAATCATTATTGAGGAGGAGCCCATCGTTGAAACTAAATTGCAACAAAAAACATCACCAAAGAAAAGAAGAAAGAAAATGGGTGGAGCATATGAAGGGAATAAGCGTATAAAAACCGAACCAGAAACGGTAAGGCTAAATTCTAATCAATGGTATTGGTTGAACATTTAGAATATTTCAACATTTGCCATAAGCTTTTATGAGAGATGGAATTTAATAGGCACCGAAGAACTTGACCAAAAAATTGAAATAATAAAAAAACAAACTTAATTTTGGATTCAAAACTGAAGAAAAACAATTTTGATTTCGAATCAAAAGTTGAAATTTAAAACTATCTCACATTCGCGCCAAGTACAACAGATTGTTTTCCCAAAAGTCAGGAATTTATGAACATTTTTACAATCAATTTCTTTTTCAAGCGACCAAATTTCCATATAAAATGTTGAAAAAAATAACATAAATGTTGAAAATGTTCCGAAACCAAATGATATGATATAGAAGTATTGCAATTAGATCGGTGCAATGAAAACCAATCAACAAGTGGGTATGTGGCATTGAACGCATTCATTCGTTTCAATGACATTTAACAGCAATTAGTGTGACACTTTGCTGTCAAAACAAACTTTAGCATCGTTGTTAATTGCCGGTCCAATCTACCGACATAATCACTTCAACCATTGCAGTGAGAATACGCACAGCGCGACGAAAAAACTACTATTCAGTTGCAACGAAGAAGTTTGAAAAAATATAATGAAAATACCCGAAGATAAACCGGCGGAAAATTGTGTTTCTGTTGTTAGTGTTAATATCAATTCTTTTTCTCTATTCATCATTCTATTGACTTTATTGTTTCATTTCAATGTTTTATTTCTATTGTTTGTTTTTTTTCGTTGGTAAAAATAATGATGAAATTGTATTTATTCCTTGTGAAATTCAGGTGAAACACGATAAATTCTGTTGGCGATGCTGTGGCGAAGGTACGTCATTGAAATGCTCCAGCTGTGTTCGATCATTCCACTCAAATTGTGCGTCAAAGGACGAGACAAACAACGTTGAAGCCGAAAAATGGCTATGTTATGTGTGTACTAAATTGAAAGGAGCTGAAAACGCCGACAAGTAAGTACAGTCACGCATAAGCTGGTCAAAGAGATTGACGTGATGTTCTCAATCTATCAAGAGATTGATGTGATTAAGACCAGTTAAATATTGTGTGCTAATTTGATTGTTTCTTTGTGGCATTTTTAGAAAGTCAGACTTGGAAATGTTGCCAATTCTCATCGACAAAGCATTGAAAGACAAATCGGTAAGTTGTTTGAGTGAACATTGGTTGGATTTTTTTTTAGCGGAAACTGTCGAATGCTTGCTATATAGCACTATTCAATGTGGATTATACATATAGCCGGCATTCTTCAGTCTCTGATTTTGAGTGTTACTTTAGCTGCAAATTTCGTTCTTTAAAAGTCAATTTATGACAACAATTCGGATTGAAATTCATCAAAGTATCTAAAATTGAACTAAATTCCATCAAAAAATTTTTATTGAATTTTTTTCAATTTTTTTTTTAAATCATTGACATTTTTGTTGTTACAGTTCAGCACGCTGAAACGCCCATTGAAAGGTGCCACTGAAGAATCGATCGTCAATCCGATCGATCTCACCAAAATCAAGGAGAACATCGGCACGTACAACAGTTTCGAATATTTTCTTGCGGATGTCCAGTGGATTGTTCACAACTGTTTCATCTTGTTTGTTGGTAATTTTCCACTACATACATACATGTCATTTAAATGGAGAACAATTGTAACAGTGTTTAATAGGCATTTATGAACATCATTTTTCAATTGAAAAAAGATGTTTCCATTAATGAGCATTTTTCAATGTTCATACATTATTCGCAGTCAATGACAGATAGCTGAGGATATATGCTAGCATAGAAACTCAGCAAGCTAAGATTGGGATATTTTGACCTTGTGACGTGCTATTCAAACAAATTTATGATGGAGGGGAGTTTGGAACACATTTTCCATTACACTCCGTGACTCCATCAACACTCCACCAAAATTCCACATAAATTTGCACGAATAGCAAGTCACAAAATCAAAATGTCCCAATATCAGCTTGCTGATTTCCTATGCCCAGCATATATCCTCAGCTATCTCTCATTGACTGATTATTCGACGGTCGAATTTCGACCACTCACAACTTCATGAAGAAGAACTTAATCGAAACAAAACAACACGCCGAGTTATGACCGATTGATGTCATGTTTCCGTTTCAGTTCAATTGAATAGCTTAGAATGTTCAGATTAAGCACGGACAAAAAGGACATTTTTCGTGCAAAACAATCGTTTTTCTGTGTCAACTCACTCAGAACGGAATTAATAGGATTCACATATACCAATGGTGATCTGTTAAATTACCATCATTACTATTGGCGAGAGTGGCGATATTGCATGTATTGTATCTGCTCTGCTGTGCGATATTACTATGT